AGAAGAAGAAGAAGAAGAAGAAGAGAAGGCGTGAGTTTACGATAAGATACACACGTGCGACTGGCTCCCTTCGGTCTCGTCTGCAACCGCCTAATCGAATCGTGACTTATTGTCAGGCTACGTCCATGTTTAAATACGCGCGGAGGTCACGTTCGTTAGAACTGCTGGTACGATTGACGTTTGAACGCGTCGCGTCGGCTCGATTTTCCTCGCACCGTTGCCGAGCGTGTGTGAGCACTGGTTGTTGCGATCGAAATTGACGGTATTGAGAGTCATCGTCAACGCGAGTGGCTCTCGTACGGTTGATTCTTGATTTGCGACGCGTGCATCTCGACTTGCGGTGCGTGTAAGTGAAATATCGGCTTTAACGCTCGACATCATCACTGCTGGCATTCGTTCCGGGGATTGATTTTTCCCTGGTAACGAGCCTGACATCTTATCACTCTTAACCATGCAAGCCCGTACGTAGGCATGCGAGTGTATATCTCGTATACAACTGATAACGAGAGAAGAAGAACGCTGCGAGAGGACGCTGCACGACCAGTTACCAGAGCTCTGAAAGCTCTTGATTTACGACGAAGAAGCAAACTGGAGGAGAGCCCGTTTCAATTAATCATCCCGATTCCGATCGAAGAGTGGGAAAGCGGCGCGGCGCGGCGCGGCGCGATTCCACTCCGAGTGCTCGCATCTCTTTCGCGCGATGCGAAATGCGAGCATCAACGAACGGCGAATGGCGAACGAATGGCAGCAAACGTGTGCTCTCTCGCTGCACACCACCAATGCGCCGAGACGTGTGTTCGTTCACGCGTAACTGACGTGCGAATTGCTCCAACGATCGTATCGAATCGAGCCGTGACAGCTCGCGTCTGAACGCACGCGTCTCAACATGCGCTTCCATGTATCAACGCACGCACGGACAATTAACGCGCGTTAATTACTCCCGTGGTGGTCCTCCGGCTCTTTGTCGGCACCACCATACCACGCTGCCCATTTCAAATTCGTTTATCCTGCACGTTTATCCCTAGCCTCCTTTTGAAACCATCGTCTCGCCAAATCTTCTATTGTCGACATCCAATGAGAAACAAATCGATCAGCACGGACGTTGCAAGTGCTTCGCGAACGTTCAAACACAGAAATAGAAGGCATGCCTGCGTTTATATAATTATTCACTTTCGACGTAACATCGTTCGTAAAACACACTGCCAACGATTGTTGAACATACACTCTGAGAACAGAGTTATCATCGTGCTTTCCATTCGTGCATTAATTATATGCACAGGCGTTTTTCAGACATAAATAAACTTTGAAAACTGATAAAACGTCAACTTTCGCGCGGGCATGCATGCAGAGTCGGTTGAATCGCGTCTGATCGATCGTCGAAATTTCGGGTGGAACGGTGTTGTTTGTGAATTGCGTGAACGCAATGCAGCGGATAAATCAGTTTTAATCGGCATCGTTGCCTGTTTACGTTTTACACGAAATAAGCAAGCGATAATGAAGCTCGTGCGAAATTTATTAACCGTGGCGGGGGAGAGGAGGGGGGAGGGGGGCCTGGCCTCGTAAAAAGTTGGAAAGATCCGCGCACGCCCTCGGGGTGAGTTCGCACAAGCTATGGAATCGCGAAGGAAGTCGTAAGCTGGGACGTTTAATTGCGCAATAAATCCTGATTCTCCGATTTGCAACCCATTTCCTACTGCGGGGGCGACGATTGGTCGCTGTTAAATTGGCGCGTAGGTGCAATGGTAGGTACCTACGTATCCATGTAGGTACGCGCCGACTGTGAAAGTCGGAAGAGCCTCGACTCTCCCTTTTCCTCTCCCTCCCTCTTCCCTCTTCCCTCGTCGCCTCTCTGTCGCACCCTCGAGCGTGAAACTGCGCGCGACCTTTCTTCTTCGATCCTCTTCTCTCTCTCTCTCTCTCTCTCTCTCTCTCTCTCTCGATCTCGCTCGCGGCGACCGACTTTGCCTGCTCGTCGTTTGACGTTATTTTAATTGAAGCGAGCGACGAACGATTCGTCTTTGAATTTTTTCAAAGGAATTGTTTCTCGGTGGATTGGAAAACCAAGTGAACCAAGTAAACGGCGATACGCGTGTATGTATGGGTACGCGATCGATCGATCGATCGATCGTCCGTGTGGTTGCATTTCGCAAAATCGCAAGCCGTGCGCTGTCGCTGGTATGGCGCGTTGCGATCGAATATCGATCGCGAGATTAAGTCATCGAACGTGCACGAGTACGTGGAGACGGTATTTCGTAATCTCGGTACGGCAGTTGTTTGCAAAGTAACGACAGCAAAGTAACCGATGCGATTGTTTTGGTGGTGTTACAGATTCGGTGGCACAGACGATTACCTTGACGATCCTCGCGTTCTTCCTGAGTTCTTCGGGTCTGAATACGGTTTCAGGTGCACCTAGTTACGGCCTCCGCACCGCCGCCGTCTCTAACGCGAATAACATGGACCGGTGGCTACAACCTTGCGGTAATCCGGTGGCCATGCAGTTCAAGAGGATGCCGCAGAGGCACAGCGTTCACAGAACGTTGAAGAGGGTACGGACGCAGCTCCGAGTTGCCCAGAATCATTTCAGAATGCACCTGAAGGATGTACAGGAGATATACTCGAAGGTAAAAGGCGACGTGTGATTCGACCTGACCGCGATTCTTAATTAATCGCAGAACCGCGACGCGTCCCGTCCCGTCCCGTCCCGTCCCGTCCCGGGTTTACTTGGTTAAAACAGAGTGGGCGGCTCTTTCACAGAGAGACTCGCGCACGTGCGCACGAATTGCTAGTGCTAAAGTCCTACTTTCCGTTCTGCCTGCAATTTGCATTTGTTACCATGTGCCACGCACACCAGCGTAATTGCATTTCTTTCAAGCAACGTCGCTCGCTGATCCTCTATCTGTCGATCGCGATTATTCACCGCTGTTTCAAATAGTTTCTAGTTACTGTCGGACAGTTTCATTTCACGTCAGATCGATGCCTCGCGTAGAATTCGCTGCTTTGGGCAAATCCTTTCAGAGAGGATTTTAACTTTTGTCGCGTTTTGTAGTCTGTGAACTTTGGTGAAAAGAAAAAAAAAAGTCGCGAAATAAAGAGGTAGAGTAGAGTTCCGCGCTCTGCCAGTTCCAAGAAGAATGACACGGTCTGCACTTGTGCAACTTCAAACAAGGGAATCGAGTGCGCGAATTGTTGGCGTTGAATGGATGAAAAACGATTTACGAGACGAAACAATATCTCAACTTTCGTCCGCAGGTGTACAAAGTGCTGAAGGGGCAGTACAGAATGCCGTGGCTGCCAGAGAAGGAGTTCGAGTGGTATTCGAGGGAGGTTTGGTGCCTGGAAAAGGGGAAGAAAGCTGACCGTGCGCTTCCACATCTTCACGATTCGCTGCAAAGGTTCGCCATCACGTTTTATCATCTGCGAGCTTTCCGCCTCAAGTCGAACATTAACGTTGACCTCACGATGAACAGGAGGAACGAGATCATCAATCAGATGCACAACGAGATTCTCAAGGTATTCACCGGCATAAAATTTATTTTGGCCGAGAGATTCGGGCCTGACAATCGCTTGCAAAACGAATCTAATCTTTCGGAAAACTATTGACTATTAAACGAAATCACAGCGAAAGAATGTCGAATCGAATCGAATCGAATCGAATCGAACCGAACGTTTCGACATTGGAAAATTCGGGGTAAAACTCGCATTGTCGTTTGGTTTACAGGTGCTGTGCGAAGTGGAAACGGCCATCTTGAACCTGGGCTTGCAAGTTCCCACAGCGCACACCGCGAAAATCGTGACGGAAAGTTCGAACTGGGCGAAGGAGGGCGACTTGACGTTGATGTTGATACAAGATTGGGGCGTGATCCGATTGTATCAGACGTTCCTGAACGCCTGGACGAAAGCGTTCCGTGACGCGACCGCACCTGGCCCGGGCACTTGCGATCCTAACAGGCCGAATCCAGGAGCTAAGAACATTAACAAAGGCTCTGGGCCAAAGGGTAAAAGGATATCGAAGATTAAGAAGCAAAAAAGGCCAGTTAGGAAGCACTCGCAGGCCACTGGCCAGAATAGTTCCTTGCCTCAGGGGCCGAGAAAGGGTATTCCGAGGAACAGACTGTTGAGAAACAAACAAAAGAAGCTCGCGAGAATCTGATGAAATTCGTCTCACAAGGTTTCATCTCTTCGTTTTTACCACATCTATTCTATCGATTATTTTAAACGGACGGTTAACAGGC